TCTGTTAAGAGTTTTCATAAGAAAAATTTGGAACGCAAATCCGAAATAAAAAAACAACTTTTTGAGATATCTTCTAATACTACTGCTCGACCAAATTTAAAAAGAAATTCATCACAAGAAGATGAAAAACTCATAAAAAGTATACAACTTTTAAAATATAATTCATTTTTAAAAAATAATATAATAAACGTTTTGATTTTTGAAACAAATATGTAATATTTTAACACATAAATTATTTTAGAGCCAAAAGTTAGTTCGAATCCTTTGACCTTAAATACGCCGAATGACGTCAATTTACTTGCTCTGTTCACTATTAAAGTAATAAAAGTATCAGAGAAAGAAAAAGGTAATTAGTTATTTAATCTATTTATTTTATGTAAAATAAAATAAAAAAAGATTATTTATTAAACATAATTAATAATTATAATACGTGTTAAATTAATATAACCTCTGCAGAGGCGTGTCTATTAAGGGGGTCTATGGACGTTTTAAACAAAAGTAATTATATGTGTTTAATTTCATATTCCAAAACCTTAAATAAACCTAACTAATTGTAAACTGTTCAATAAAGTTTTTTATTAATATTATGAAAAATGTTTAAATATGGTTACATTTACAGAAGTAATACAAGATCAGAACACAAAATCTCTTGATCAGTATAATTCACCTTCATTTAAATCGCCCACATCATGGTATACTTCAGACACAATTAATGAGTACATTAAAATGATAGTAAAACGTTCAGAAGGTGAAGTTTATGCAGTTGTCACTGATTTTATTGTAGCGTATCTTCGAGGAGGCTATCCAGCTGTAAGAAGATGGATAAAAAAAGATATTCACACAATAAAATTGCTATTTGTGCCCATGAATGTATATGAGAGTCATTGGATATTGACAGTGGTTAATATACCTGAAAAGACTGTGACATCATATGATAGTCTTAAGTCGTATGAGGGTCCCTATCCAATGGTATTAAAAAATTTCTTAATTGAATGGGAGATGGACAAAAAAGGAAAAGCTTCTACATGGACATTACAAATAGGCGAGACATCTCGCCAAACCAATGGACATGATTGTGGGCCATTTACTGTTGAGCTGGCAGAAAAAATGTCTCGAGGAGATACAACACCAATAAATGCAAATTTTATGCCTTTTATAAGATTAAGACACAAAAATGAAATTATTGCTGG